GGGGGGTGGGGAGGGGGCCTAGCTGCCTGAGGTTGCCTGGGGCCTGGCACTGCAGAAACAGCTGAACGCACCGCTCTCAAGCCCGCTGTGCGCTCCGCCTGCCCTGCACCAGAACGAGCCTGGGATGGGAAGAGCCCGCACGTGGCGAAATTAACTAAGCAAGGCGGGTAGGAGGCGCGATCGCTGGCTGAGCAGGGGGCTGATGGCCTTGCCTGCGGTCACTAGGCCAGGGCCACTGGATCCGGCCCGCGGGACCCCCTGCCGGGGCCCCCCAGGCACGTAGCACAGAGCTCAGTCCCCGCTTCTCTCCGCTCTGCAGGGAGGGGGAAGCTTCCTGCCATCTCCCCGCCCCCAGCCCAAGCCTTAGTTCCGATTGGCCAGAAACAACCGGCCAATAGGAACTGACGCCGGCAATCTCTGAGCTCCTATTGGCTGGAAACAACCAGCCAATAAGATCTGAGAGATTGGAGGATGGGAGCCCCGCAAATCATAGAATCATAGAATCATAGGACTGGAAGGGACCTCGAGAGGTCATCGAGTCCAGCCCCCCGCCCTCAAGGTGGCACCCCTGTGCCTCCTATACATACTCCAACTCCCCAGGTCACCATCCTAACCCTCTGCACCCCCCTGCCTCAGGACACAATTCTCTCCCAGACCCTGTACCCCCCTATACCCACCCCCAGGCCAGAATCCTCTCCTGCACCAAACTCCCTCCCAGACCCCACATCTCCTCCTACATCCCTATCCCTGCCTGGAGCTCTCTCCTACACCCGAACTCTAACCCAGAGCCCCACCTCCCATTAATAGAATAGAGAGTGTAGTCTGTGACCACTTCCAAAATTCTTGGAGTGGCACCCCTGCAAAAAAATTGTCCCTCCCTGTACTAAGTAATGAAGTCAATGGGAGCCATTGGTGCTCATCAACTCTAGTATGTGTGTTTTCCTTATGGTAACCAAAGTAGCTGCAGCTTTTACAGAAGACACATTGTGGTAGTTTCCATTGCTTGGAATTACAGAATTAATTAAATCTGGAACTGCTCTTGCTCATGACTCGCGTGCAAGAGCAGGCGAGCAGTATGGATGCTCTACAGAAGAATGGCCATTCTTGCGCAAGAACCCGCCAGTGTAGACATAGCTCTAGTGCCCCTCTCTCAGGCCAGAACCCTCTCCTGCACCCATACCCCTCGCTGACCCTATCCCCAAACCCAGGTCACAACTCCCTCTTTTGCCCAAACTTCCTCTCAGACCTCACACTGTCTCCTGCACCTCAGTCCCTTACCCTCTGCGCCCTTCTGTGCCCAACCTCCATCCTGGACCCTGTATGCCCTCCACAGAAAAGTGTGGCCCTTCACCGTTTTCCAAAATCTCGAAGTGGCCCCCCCTCCAAAAATTATTGCCCACCCACGCACTAGGCAGACAAGGAGCATGGGTCCCTCTGCCTTATAGCCATGTGCTGCAGTGACAGCAATGGAGTTACTCCTGATTTATGCCCACCATGCCCTGTGCTGTGTGCTGCTATAGCATTTACCTATGCCAACAGAAGGGATTCTCTGGTCTGGGGAGTTGCTGGATCACACGACTGGCAGAAGGATTTGGTTCCTAGTTTCTAGTTCAGTTTGGTATGGGGGTAAGAATAAACAAAAATGTCCCATTTATACACTTTTCAGCTGTATGTATGGCCACATTCCTGAGGGCTGCTGCAGAGCGATGTAAATTAACCACAGGCATTCAAAGGATGGGCAACTGTGGTACTATCAGCACCCTACAGCTCAAGATTACTACTAGGGAATTGAGCAACTTTGTTTTACAGTTAGGACTCTTAAGCCCTGGTCTACAGTAAGAAGTTATTTTAAAATAACCCTCTTTATTTTGAAATAATAAGCGAAACATCCACACTACCAAGCCTATTATTTCAAAACAATGGCCTGGTTATTTCAAAATCTGTATTGCTTTCCTCGAAGAATAATGCTTATTTCAAAATAGCATTACTGTGGACGCTCCACTGCTGCTATTTCAAAATAACTGCTCCCTAAAGTCATTCAAAGTAATATTCCCCAGTGCTTCCTTGGGCTCAAAGTTGAGGTATCGTGTCCACAACAATGGAGCCTGCCTTATACTAATTTCAAGACTCCCCTGTAGTGGGGACACTTTGGTTTTGTTATTTCAGAAGTTATTATTTTGAATTAAGTTATTTTGAAATAATCTCCTAGTGCAGACATACCCTAAGGAAGCTGTACTAGCTAAGGCTACTGAAGAGAATCACTGATTTAGTCGTCTGCCCCATCCATGCCCACTTCCTAGCTGGTGCTACCCACTTGGCGGGCTGTGGAAATTCCCTTAGAAAACCCCTAAGGTTAGAAATCTATTTCTGACCCTACAGCCTGGCTGATTTCAGGGAAGGACTTTTTCCAACATAACCCCATCCTGAATTTCTTCTGTAAACATCTTCCTTTAGAATACATAAGATTATGGCATCCAGGCATAATAATTGTTTCATTTAACAATGTGAAAATTAATGATGCCCCTCTTGTGCCATGTGGAATCACAAATACATCAAATTGCCACACAAGGGGCTACGTCTAGATTGCATTCCTTTTTCGTAAAAGGGATGCAAATTAGACGTATCGCAATTGCTAATGAAGCAGGGATTTAAATCTCCCCCGCTTCATTAGCATAAAAATGGCTGCCGCTTTTTTTCGGCACGGAGCTTTGCTGGAAAAAAGCGCCAGTCTAGACGTGGATCTTTCGGAAAATAAAGCCTTTTCCGAAAGATCCCTTATCCCTCTTAA